TTCTCAGATCTCTTCAGTATTCATTACTTAAGTGTTTTCCCTGACAGGTGGAGGACCTTGTACAATGTAAGGGCTTAAGTATGTTAAGTGAATAGTTAGTAAGAATGTGGAGAGTTGGCAGAAAGTTCAGAGGAGAGCCACATATTCAGTTGATGCAAGGAGAACTTGTGAGGGAAAAGTGGTTGGAGCTGGAATTTTGTGTAAAAGCACCAGGGAGTTCTCAGGACTAGATTAGGAATTCTAGATCCTGAGGGATGAAGAGGGAGATGACAACTAATCCTTTGGTATGTGTACAAACTGTTAAAGGGGGCGGGATGGTCTTTTTTTTTTTTTTTACATATAATTTTTAATTTATTTTTGGCTGCGTTGGGTCTTCGTTGCTGCGCGCGGGATTTCTCTAGCTGTGTTGAGCAGGGACGTTGCAGTGCGTGGTCTTCTCATTGAGGTGGCTTCTTTTGTGGATCACAGGCCCTAGAGCACGCAGGCTTCAGTAGTTGTGGCTTGCGGGCTCTAGAGCTCAGGCTCAGTAGCTGTGGCACACGGGCTTAGTTCCGTGGCATGTGGGACCTTCCCAGACCAGGGCTTGAACCCGTGTCCCCTGCACTGGCAGGCGGATTCTTAACCACTGTGCCACCAGGGAAGTCCTGGCAGGATGATCTTTAATTTTGGCATAGAGAAGCACAGTTCGGCTTAAAAACGTTTTTTCTAAACATAATACTGCAACAGACCTTTGAAGAAAGTTAAAACCTCTTCTACCCACTGAGGTATTAAAAATCAGCGGTGAGCTCTCTGGGTGTTTCATTCATGTTCCTCGAGTTAGACATCCAGCCACTGGTCTCTTCAGGTGCCTTCTATTTTCTAATTCTGATTTAATGAATAAAAACTTCTGATGATGATTTCTCCTGCCTGAGCGCTTGTATTTAAATGCTTAACATACAAGTTGCTGGACCCCATCCCCGGCATTTCTGATTCAGTGGGTCTGAGATGGGGCTTGAGAACTTGCCTTTCTGCCAATTTCATGGGTGATGCTGATGCTACATACAGGTCGGTCTGGGGACCACACTCTGAGAATTTTTGCTCTTAATCTTCTTCACAGGGTGGACAGGTGTTTTTTGTAACTTGCAGTCTGATAGTCATTCCTCTGGAACCTTTAAGAGGTGTCCCTTCCCTTCAGGACAGTCTGAACCCCTGAGATTGCATATAGCAACTCTGAAAGTCTGCCCTATTTCCCCCTGTAGCCTGTTGCCACATAATCGAAGCATATTCTCTTTTCTTAAAGGTACCTCTCTACCTCTGTGCATACCATTCCCTCTGCCCATTTTCTGTAGTCCAGCCCTTTGAGGATTTATGTCAGTCAGGTTCCACATTAATTCTTATACCTTCCTGAAACTCAAATCAGGACAATTAATTACTAGAACACTGTACAGTTGCAAAGATGGTATAAAACAACTAGATGAGGTAGGTTGAGAAATAACATTCCTTAACTCGAATGTGCCATGTGGTGCCAAATTTGAATATCTCTACTGTCTTTTTATAGGCACTTTATTGAGATCTAGTTTACATACTATACAAGTCACCCATGTACAATTCAGTAGTTCAGGTATGTTGACTTGTGCAACTGTCAACATAATTTTAGAACATTTGGATCATCCCAGAAAGAAATCTTGTACTCATGAGCTGTCATTCCCTATTACCCCTTCCCCCCAGGCCCTGGCAACCACTAATCTACTGTCTGTATAGATTTACCTATTCTAGACATTTCATATAAATGGAAGCGTATAATACATGGTTTTCTGTGACTGGCTTCTTTTAACATAATGTTTTCAAGGCTCATCCATGATTATAATATATATCAGTACTTCATTCTTTTTTATTGCCCAATAATATTCCATTGTATGGACATACCACATTTTATTTATCCAACTATCAGTTGATGGACATTTAGGTTGTTTTCACTTTTGGGATATTATGAATAATGCTGCTTTGAACACTCATGTGCAAGATTTTTGTCGTGGACATATGTTTTCATTTCTCTTTGGTATGTACCTAGGAGTGGAATTGCTGCACCACTTGGCATTGCTCTGTTTAGTATTTTGCAGAGCTGCCAAACTGATTACCAAAGCACCTGCACCGTTTTACATTCCCACGAGCATTGCATGAAGGTTTCAGTTTCTCCACATCCTCATCACACTTGTTATTGTCAGTCTTCTTCATTTTAGGCATCCTGAGGGTTGTGAAATGGTATCTCATTTGGTTTTGATTTGCATTTCCGTAATGATTAGTGATGTTGAACATCTGTTCATATGCTTATTGGCCATTTTTCTTCGGAAAAATGTCTATTGAATCCTTTGCCCATTTATTTAAATTTTTTGTATTTGAAAGGCAAATTTGTAGAGTAGTTTCAGGTTCACAGCAAGATTGAGGGGAAGATACAGATTTCCCGCGTATGCCCTCCTCCACACATGCATGGTCTCTCCCATTATCAACATGCTCCACCAGAGTGGTTCGTTTTTGTTTCTTTGTTAAAACAAGTGATGAACCTACATTGACACATCATAAGCACCCAAAGTCCATAGTTTACTTTAGCATTCACTCTTGTTGTTGTATGTTCTTTGGGTTTAGACAAGATGTTTAATGATATGTGTCTATCATTATAATATCGTATAGAGTATTTTCACTGCCCTAAAAATCCTTTGTGCTCCACCTGTTCATCCTTCCTCCCACCCAAATCCCTGGCAACTACTGATCTTTCTACTTTTCCATAGTTTAGCCTTTTCCAGAACGTCACATAGTTCCATATGTATGTCACATACATACAGTATGTAGCCTTTTCAGATTCTTTGCCCATTTTTAAAATCGGATAGTTTGGTGGTGGTGGTGTTTTTGAGTTTGGGGAGTTATTTACATGTTCTGGATATAAATCCTAGATCAGATACCCGATTTGCAAATATTTTTTCCCACTCTGGATTGCCTTTTCACTCTCTTGATAGTGCTTTGTTGTACAGAGTTTTTAATTTTGATGTAGTCCAATTTCTTTCTTTTTTTTTAACCTATGCTTTTGGTGTCATATTCCAAGAAATGACTGCTATGAAGCTTTTCTCTTATGTTTTCTTCTAAGATTTTTGTTTTAGGTTTTCTATTAGGTCTTTCATCCTAATAGAGTTAATTTTGGTATGTGGTGTAAAGTATACAGGTCCAACTTTATTTGTTTGCATGTGAATGTCCAGTTTTCCCAGCACCATTTGTTGAAGAGACTGTCCTTTCCCCTTCAAATGATCTTGGCACTCTTGTTGAAAATCATTTGAACAAATATGTGAGAGTTTATTTCTGGGCTCTCTTTTCTATTCCATTGGTCTCTGTGTCTATCTTTATGTCATTATTGCACTGTTTTGATTACTTTATCTTTGAGGTAAGTTTTGAAATCTGGAAGTGTGAGATCTCCAACTTTGTTCTTCTTTTTCATTACTGTTTTGTCTATTTGGGATCTCTAGAGATTCATTGTGAATTTTATGATAGGATTTTCTGTTTCTGGAAAAAACATCATTGGGATTTGTTAGGGATTGCATTGAATCTGTAGATTGCTTTGGGTAGTGTTCACATCTCAACAATATTAAATCTTCCCATTCATGATCACTAGATGTCTTCCCACTTATTTATATCTTCTTTAATTTCTTTGAGCTATATTTCATAGTTTTAGTGTACAAGTCTTTCACCTCCATGGTTAAGTTTATTCTTAAGCATTTTATTCTTTTTGTTGCCATTGTAAATGGAATTGTTTTTCTTAATTTCCTTTTCTGATTGCGCTTCCTTATCTTTGACCATTTTTTCAATTGGGTTGTCTTTTTGTTGAATTGTAAAAGTTCTTTATATATTCTGGATACAATTTCGTTATCAGATATATGATTTATAAATACTTTCTATCATTCTGTGGGTTTTTCTACTTTCTTTACTAATATGAACTGTTTACATAAACTATGAAAACACTTCTTCCAAAATGTTACCTTTAAAATGATAGGAAATGCTAAGATATTTTATAAGAATTTATTAAAATATTAGACTTCTTAGCAGTTTTTCTATTTGTAAATGCGGTAGTACATTTTATAGAATAATATTCAGTGAAAAGTATGTTTATAGACACTATAACATCCTGGAAACTGATGTATTAGGCAAAAGGAGTATAACTTAAGCAATTATGTCATAAATAAAATTATGTTAAAAAAAATCTCAAACTTATGCAAGGGAAAAATGATCAGAAAGAGACCCTCCAAAATGTTTGTAGTGGTCATGGAGTGACTAGGACAATGAGTATTTTGTTTTCTTCCTGTCTGTGTTTAGATATGTATTTAAACATTTTTTACTATAAAAATTCCTAAAAGAGCTGTTAGCCACTTAGAGTAAATATGAATGATGTAGCTTATGCTCCGTTGTTGAATATTGACTTCAGGAGATGATTTGATTCATTATAAAGCATCCCTTTGATAGTGTTGTATCCTGTCAGTCTATATCACTTCAGAAAATAATGTCCTATTTATTATAAACATCATAATTAATTTTTAAAAAATCTAAGTCTGTAGAGGAAATTATTTTTTTTCAACATTTCTTGGAGGAATAATGTTAAATGAATGTATTATCTGCTCTAATTATCTAATTTAAATTACTAATTTAAATAATGGCTTTGTTAACTCATATTTAGTTTTGACCGCATGAATCAACTTGGTAAAATAACCGGGTACTTTACTTTAAAAATCAATTACAGAGGTTGTCTGTTTAATTGTGGATTGGCAACTGTTAGGCAGTCCATCAGTCATTACTACAATTAGTTGAATTGTAGTAGTCAATTTAAGTGAATACTAAGGAACCACAATAATGCAGACAGAACTGAAGTGATATAAAGATTCCTACCTAGTCATTCTTTCTATTGTAGAAGAAACTCAGTAGTAATTAGTAATTTGAAAAAGGGCTATAATATAATAAAGTGTATAATTTCTCTGCTTTTTTAGGAGTTGGTAATGCTTCTTTTAGAATATAATGCTCATACTACTGTTGTTAATGGGAATGGACAGACAGCAAAGGAGGTCACTCATGACAAAGAAATCAGAAACATGCTTGAAGGTAAATATTATGGATCTTAATCTAAACAGCATTTATTTTCGTTATAGACACGGTCCAGGATAGAAGTAGAAATGGCTTCTGAGGTGCCAAAATAGATGACACCAAGCCTGTGGTCTAAAGATAATGTAATTTGCAAGTCACTGATTAGACATAAAACTATATGAGAGTTTCCGCAGAGCTTTTAAATTCTTTATATAAGATTATGGCGAGTTTTAAAAATCAAATCTCCAACAAAATTAAAAGTAGAAATTAGAGACATGAGGGAGTACGGCTGAAAGGCTGCAGAAGCATGATAATGAAGGAATACAGAGCGCAGGACAGGGAAACTATAAGAGGTGTAGCTACTGGGAGTCATTTGATATTGGGGAAGATAGCTCTGGCCGGCTCCATTACCCTGAGGGCTTCATTGTAGTACAGCAGCCAACAGTAAATTCTTCATGGATCAGCTTCATTGTTAGATGAACTTCAAAGATTCAGTTACGTTTAAGAAGACAGATTAGGGATTTCTCTAAAAATAGTTTAAAACAAAAATACTTTGATGCTTACATTGGGAAGCGTTCATTTGTTAGGATTATCCCCCAAATATCCAGGGCTTTGGCTGTAATTATTTTTTTGGTAGTATTTCTATAGTAGAGAAGAGAAGATTACATTTTTTTAAATTAATTAATTTATTTGGCTGCGTTGGGTCTTCGTTGCGGCACATGGGCTTCTCTCTAGTTGTGGCATGTGGGCTCTAGAGCGCGTGGGCTTAGTTGCCCCGCGGCATGTGGGATCTTAGTTCCCTGACCAGGGATTGAACGTGTGTCCCCTGCATTGGAAGGCAGATTCTTAACCACTGGACCATCAGGGATGTCCCTGAGAAGAGAAGATTTCTTAATTACTACTTTATGAATAAAGGTATTGAATTAGAGTTGCAGTTTCACACACATCCTTTGTTTCTTTCCTTTGCAATTCAGAGAAGGGCAAGATAATTTTGTACTTCAAGGGTGTTGATTTATTTGTTATTAGTATTTTTATCTATGTACGAAGCAAGGTCTTGCTTTTTATTACTTTCCAGTTGACCTTGAAACCTAAAATCTCCCTTGTTTCTTTCGTTACAAGATACTGTCTGCTTGTCAGACACCTTTAGATCAACGTCTCTACTCGCTCTTGCATTTAAAATGAACCCTCTCATTTTCAATAAACAAATCAGCACATAACATCTTCTGTAAGGCTCAGTATTATGTGATTTTGAGGAGCTGATCATATTATATGTCATCCCTGCCCTTTAATAAATTATGATCTAATTGGGAGGATTAGGTACTGTCTTTGATCCTGTTCTATTATTTTATTTGTAATAAGATGAGAACCCAGAACTGACGTTCTCCTGACAGACTGGGATGTTGGGTTCACCTGACAAGTTGACATTTAATGGGGCTAGCTGTAAAGACATGCATAAGTACCCACTCTCACAGCCGCCAAAACCCAACTGTGCTAAGGACAAGGGCTTAGTTGACTTGATGGGCACTTATGATTTATCAGCTACAGTATGGTCCTAGCTGGGGTAATAGAAGTAGAAATAGAGATTTTGCTCTGATGAGATCACCTTAGCCAGGTGTGATATCATTTGTGGATAGTGCATTAAATGGATCAGACTGCAGGGAGTACATCCACAACCCACCAAGACCACAGGTAGACCAGAAACCCAATTGTAGGGTAATGCATGTAGAGACAGGAAATGTTTCACCCCAGAAAGACAGATATCAGTAGACACAACAGAATCATGTTTGAGTATCTTAAGAACTGTTATATTGGAAGAGGGGTATTCTTGTTTGAGGCCGACCAGGGCCAGTTGACGATCCACTTGATGGCATGCCAGGGAGTTTATCTTTGGGTCCAGTGTATTATAATAATGGCTTGGGTTGCCTTGAAAGGTGTAGTGAGTTTCCCATGATTAGAAGTGTTCGGAAGAGGGTAGATTTCTACTTGTCAGGCACTAGAGAGGACTAGTGTACCTTCTTCTACGTATCGTTTGACTTTTTTTTATTTTGAGAAATATCCAACCTATGGGAAAGTTTCAAGAATAGTACAACAAACACTTGTATATCTGCACTTAGTCACCAGTCATTAACATTTTGCCACATCTGATTTACCTTTTTATATATTATTTAATGTTATTTATTTACTTTTAATTTTTTTTTTGTGGTGCTATTAGGGAATAATTTGCAAACATAATGATACTTTAGCAGTAAGTGCTTCAGTATGTATCTCCTAAGAACAAGGATGTTTCCTGATATAATCACAATATAGTGATCAATTTCATGAGCTTTAACATCATTATCACAAGATCGCTGTTGTAGAATGCCCCTCAATTTGGGCTTTTCTTGTCTCATGTAATTGATTCAGGATATACTCATTTTGCCATAGGTTGTACTTGGCATAGGATAAGGTTTTATGCTTTATACCAGTGCATATTAGGAGGTACATGATGTCATTCTGTTCCATTACTGGTGAAATTATCTCTGATCACTACGTGGTCCACTGTTAAGCTACCTTCCCTCTTTTGTAATTAATAAATAATCCTTGGGGAGAAAAACTGAGACCATGTAAATATCCTGAAATCAGGATAAAATCACTTTAAATCAGTGATTTTAGCATTCGTTGATAATTCTTGCCTGAATCACTCTTTACTATAGAGATTGCAAAAGGGTGATTTTCTGTTGTTAATGAAGTATACATTTGGTAGGTTCTCGCCTGCATTTGAAGTGTACTGCTATTTAACCTACGCTGGGCGTGTATGTAAGTGTCTTATCAGGATGGAGTTAGGCTTCATGATCTCTGTGATCCCTACTAACTCTGGATTCTGATTGAAAAGAAAGACAAAGAGTTAGTTTATAGTCATATCAAATTTAAAATATATAGGACAGGGACTTCCCTGGTGGTCCAGTGGGTAAAACTCTGCACTCTCAATGCAGGGGGCCCAGATTTGATCCCACGTCAGGGAACTAGATCCCACATGCGTGCTGCAACTAAGAGTTCGCATGCCTCAATGAAGATCCTGAGTGCCGCAACTAAGATCCAGGGCAGCCAAAATAAATAGATAGTTAGATAGATAGATATATGGATGCAGCCAAAATAAATAAATAAATAGATAAATAAATATTTAAAAAATGAAAATAAAATTTGTAAGACAGATTATTTTGGGGATGGAGTATTTGCTTTAAAAACATTTATTAAGGTATAAAATATATGGATAAAAGTACACATTATTAATGCACAGCTTGCCGTTTTCACAAGGGAAACACATGCATGTAAACAGCACCCATGTCAAGGAACAGAACATTATGGGTACTCTAGAAGCCTTGAGTCCGCAAATTGGAATATTTGTTTTTATAGGCTGGATCATCAGTCTTCTTTCAGTGTCCAGAAGGACCACAGGACAGGAACACAAGCAGGGTTTTCAACTCCAAATCCAGTTTTCCTTCATTGATGAGCCTAGACAATCTAGAGAGAAACATTTACCACCCTTCCTTAAAGTCTAGAACAAACATTATTAAACATTGATTATTCAGTGAATGTTTATTGGCTAGATATGCATTGTGCCAGATATTGTCATAAATGCCTAGGATACACAGAAGAGTAAGAACAGGCACCTGACTTCGAGAATGACTGCAGGGATAAATTACAGCTCCAGGTAACACATGCGGTAGTACAGGTGTGTAGGGAAGGGTGGGGACGTGACTGTTCTCCAAAGCTCACAGTCCAGTGGCCTTAGAGGAAAGACTGAAGAGCATGAATCCCAGCAAAAGAAAGCAGTGTTGGGAGCATGTGTGGAGGCGTGGCAGTCTTCCTCCAAAGTGGAGAGGGAGGGAGTGGGTGTGGAAATAAACATGTGAGAAAAGAAGATGATGGTATATTAGTAATGTTAGTCCCTTCTTAAGACAAAGTTAAACTGGTTCCAGCTATTCCTGTATTCAAGCTATGTGTTTCCTGTAGTTGAAATGCAAGGGCATGCGTAGTGTCTTGAACAACTGTTAGCGCATAGTCATTACTAACTATTAATAAATGTTCATTATTTCTCGGGGAGACCTAGGAAACCTTTTATAGTTCCTCCCTTGCAGCCTTTGCACAGGACACTGTACACATATTTTAAGGGGGATTATTATTAAGCCTTCCTATGAAATTGTTTCTTTTCTGTAAGCCAAAACAGAACTCAAACATAGCAGAAATGAGACCTTATTACATACTCTCGTCCCTTAAATCAGACTGCTCGCATTCCCTGCAAGTACGAGCAGCACAGAGTCGTGGTAAAAGCATGGACTCTGGAACCCACCTGCCGAAGGTCAAGTCCTAGCTCCTCCACATCCCGGCTGTGTGGCTTAGGTTAAGTTCCTTAACCTCTTGCTGCCTCAGTTTCTTCATCTATAAAATTGTGAAAATAGTAACGCTTCAAAGAGTAGTTATGAGGATTTAATGCGTTAATATTGTTTGAGTGTTTTGAAAGGTATTTGGCACATAGTAAGTGCTAGAGTGTTTGTTAAAGAAATAAAATGTTCTTATGTAGAAGTATGTAAGTATATATAAACCTAAATATATTTATATGGTGTGTATGTCTTCCCACCAACGCTATTTCTTATTATTTTTGCATTCTAAGGTTCTGGAAGGTATGAGCACCTCTCCCCACTTATCTACCTTTCCAAGGCACATATGTAATAGTATTTCAGCATGCAAAAGTAATTCATAATTACTTGTGTTGGGTGTTGTCGTGAGTAATGTACTTCAGGACCTCTGAATTGAAAACAAAAATTCATCTGAACCTGAGGGAAGTTGAACTCTGTAGTCTGAAATAAAGGCAGTGAGAATAACCGTACAGTCTAACAGCATTTGAATTACAGTTCAAAACATTGTGACTTTTCTTACCATGGTGACTTTATTCTCTATACATCTTTGTGATAAATTTGCTAATAGGATCCAGACTAGAAGTAGAATAATATGTACTTTTCCTTTCGCAGCTGTAGAAAGGACTCAACAAAGGAAGCTTGAAGAATTACTTTTAGCAGCAGCAAGAGAAGGCAGAACAGCGGAACTCACAGCTCTGGTAAAAACAAAAACGTATTCTTTACTCTGCAGGGAATTTTTTTTTTTTTCCAGAAAGGTGTGAAATTTATTAAGATATTAAGAAAAAAAGATGGAACAGTAAATAGCTACTGAATTTGGGATAGTTCCTTATTTACAAGTTTTACTGCAGGAGGCCCATTTAAATCAGCATTTCACATAATCAGAGGACTACAGTTTTTCCCTGGAAATATAGGTATTTCACTTTCCAGGTAAAAGATTATTGAAAACATTAAGCGACCGCCCCAGTTAGAAACAGATAAGCGAATACCTTCAAGATATATAAAAAAGGGTAACTGCTGGGCTTCCCTGGTGGCGCAGTGGTTGAGAGTCCGCCTGCCGATGCAGGGGACACGGGTTCGTGCCCCGATCCGGGAAGATCCCACATGCCGTGGAGCGGCTGGGCCCGTGAGCCATGGCCGCTGAGCCTGCGCTCTGCAACGGGAGAGGCCACAGCAGTGAGGGGCCCACGTACTGCAAAAACAAAAAACAAACAAACAAACGAAAGGGTAACTGCTACTTAAACATGAATTTTCACAAATTATTCTTGTGCCTAATTCAGACAATTTGCTTAGAAAAGCTGAGGCAATTTTTTACTTAACGTTGAGTTCATAACGTAGTCAAATTGTGGGACTAGAAAACACGAGATCATAATAATAGAACAGAAGTCTTTAAATATCTGAAAACACAGCATGGTAATAGTTTAAGCAGGATATATTTTAAATGATTACGTTTTTCTCTGAATTTCTGATTTACTACCCCACTTCTACTTGAAAACCTAATGGTTAAGAATTTAGTTTTTCATGGTAAATATTTAATATAAGGATAGTTTTTTTTCTTCATGATTAATCCAATTTAAAATTGGCATATAATGTATAAGATCCTATAAAGGAATACCTTTCTCTAATTTTGATGAACAATTATTTCTGAAAGGTATGCTATAGTTCTAGAAAATAACATACAAACAAGGGACAATATTTTTGAAATATTTATATCATGTTAGAACAGACTGAAAACTTACCCATTTCTTTTTCTTCTTAGGAGACCTACTTTCTAGTTTCCATTTCCTGAAAATAGTCTCATTAAACACAAAACTCTGAATGTGGTCTAAATTCAAGACTGAAGCACGGCCATTTGCCTTAAAGTTACTTCAGCTCGTTTGAAAAGGCCTCTCTGGTTTCCAAGTATAGTGCCTAAAACATATTTTAAACTTTGTGAAATGGAGACTCCTTTAAAAAGAACTTTTTAAAGGAGTCAGCTGGGAACAACAAATTCAGTAGACCTTTAACATTTACATGTTTAACATTTATGGTTTTTTTTTTTTGCAATATGCGGGCCTCTCACTGTTGTGGCCTCTCCCGTTGCGGACCGCAGGCTCAGCGGCCATGGCTCACGGGCCCAGCCGCTCCGCGGCACGTGGGATCCTCCCGGACCGGGGCATGAACCCGTGTCCCCTGCATCAGCAGGTGGACTCTCAACCACTGCGCCACCTGGGAAGCCCACATTTATGGTTTTAATGCTTCTCAATGACTGTGGGAGACCAATTTGTAATTTTGCTGTCACAAGTGTGAATTGCAAGACTGGTAGGGGCGAAAGAATCTTAGTGGGATCCCAGTGTCCAGGGGTGAGTGGGGTGGCCCTGGTGTAGTGTGTGGTGTGTGTTGTCAGAGGAGCGTGGGGCCTGAGATTCCGTGGCAGCTTGAGGACAGCATGGGGAGTGACGTGGGTTGGCTGATTTTGTGAGCAGGAAGCCACTGACAGTTGAGATGCTAAGGAGCCCCACTGCTCATCAGGCTCTGGGGCATGAGGGTCCGCCTGAATTTTCAGTTATACTGTACCATCATGGGTTTCATGGAAGAAAGTCTGTCTTTGATATGTAATCTGCATTGTATTTCTTCAATTGTCAGCTCAACAGGCCGAATCCTCCTGCTGTTAACTGTTCGGATCAGTTAGGAAATACACCCTTGCATTGTGCCGCCTATCGGGCTCATAAACAATGTGCCTTAAAGCTTCTAAAAAGTGGAGCGGACCCTAATCTGAAGAACAAAAATGGTAAGCATGTTGGTGAAAGCCATTGTTGGTCATTTTGAAGCTGTAAAGAAATGAAGTGTTTTGTTTTAGCGCCCAGCCTTTGTTAAACTGTGTGGTCCCTGTTTAATTTTGAAGTCAAGGCATTTACATGAAAGAAAAAATTTATTAATTTACTTCTCAGTTAAGACCTAGATGTTTAATAATGCCTATTTCATATGAGGCACTAATGATGCCTAAGATCTGATTTCCACCCTCAAGGGAAAGAAAGTACAGTTGACTCTTGTTATTTGTGGTAGTTATGTTCTGTAACATTGCTGTGACCTCTGAATTAGTGGATACTGAACCATTGCTTATAAGGGAAATACAGAGTTAAGTTCCTGTGAGCCTTTGGTCACAGCATTTTCATCCACTGATCAACACGTAGCCTTGTTTTATGCGTGCTTCTGTTTAAAAACACCTTATTCAGTGTATGTTATTGACTTATTAACACTGAGCTCACTGCCAAGAGCACTATAACTCACGCCTGGACTAAGCTCGTGTAACACATACTGTGTTCAGAAGGCACATCACAGGCTTCTTGCACTTAGGAGCACTAGACAGCACTTCAGCCCTGTGCTTGGGGGCCAGTTTCAACAGTGAAATCACCAGAAACAAAACACGAAAAATGTGGCACTAGGTAGACTGTGACGAGGATACTTGTTCACAGTACGAGAGCTGAGACAAGAAGGCAGAGCACCAGCTTTTCCACTTCAGGGAATGTGTGCATCAGAAGACTCAAGTTTTTCACCGATCTGGTTGTGTCTGTGAATGACCAAAAAATTGCGATGAGTATTGACTTTGAGATTAAAGTACATTTTAACAGTTGGCGAGTTTGCAGATGTGGAATTCACAAATAATGAGGATAGACTGTACATGCACGAAGCATCAAAGAGAGAACTGGGTGACCATAAGAGTAGCTGTAAAAGGTATATTGGGTAATCAGTGGAGGAACAGCTCATTAGGGCTTTTCTGCATCCCTTTTTAGGATGCTTCTCTCTGCCGACCATCGGCCTGGATTAGGACTTGTCTGTGGTCCCATAGGACCCTGTGTTGACCTCTTCATAGCTTCAGTTGTTCTCTGTGGCAGTTGTTGACTTATGTAGCTGTCTCCCGTGAGACTGAGTTCCTAAGGGGTGGGCTAACATTTTACTGTCTAGTTTACCCAGCACCTAGAGTAATGTGTAGCATTTGATGCCTTCTACAAGTTGCATGTTTGTTGAAGGTTTGGGGCGATTAGAAATAGCTTCCTGAAGGAATACATCTTTTATACAGACCCTGGAGTCCTAGTAAGATTAAAAAAATAATTCATCTCTAAATACTTCAGTTTGTATCTCTAACAAAAGGCCCCCCAATATTTTTTTTCCTTTTAAATAAAGCAATACTATTATTATCTAGTAAGATATTGGTAAGCTGAATTTTGGGAAAGGGTGTTGTAAGCAGAGGGAAGATTATGAGCAAAGGTAGTAAAGTGAAAAATGTAAGTCAAGTTGAGGTGACATCTCCAGTTTGACACATCCAAGGGTATGAAGAGGAGCAATACTGGGGAATCCTGTAACTGCAGATTAGGTTCTGTCATGGCGAGCCTCAAAATGCCAGACTGTTTTGCCCCTTAATTTGAAGGTCAGGGAGACTCTGAGGAGTGGAGGGATGAGGTGCTTTAAAAAGATTAATATGGTTACAATATCTAGGATGGGCTGTGACAGGCCCAAGACTGTAGGGAGGGATCAATAGGGCCATTGAAATGGTCTTAGGTGAGAGGTAATTAGGACCTGAACTTTAGTAACATAATGGGTGTAGAAAGGAGAAAGAAAATTTACTATAGAATCTCATGCTTCTTCCTCTCTTCTTTTGACTTGGCCCTTACACCCTAGACTGGCACTGTTCTGTAGAGATACAATGGGACGCACATATTAAAAGTAAAAAGAAACATGAAATTAATTTTCATAATGTATTTTATTTAAAGCAGTATATCCAAAATACCATGTCAACACGTAATTGATGAAAAATAATTATCAATGACGTTTTACATTCCTTTTTTGGTACCAAGTCTTTGAAATCTGGTGTGTGTTTTACACTTCACAGCACATCTCAGCTTGAACTAGATGCATTTCAAGTACTGAATGGCCACATGTGGTTAATGTCCACCATATTGGACATTGCAGCTCTAGACGTACTGAGCTGTTTGAGGCTCTCTCATTAACCGTGCTGTCCTCACTCTGCTTATGCTGTCTCTGCCAGGAATGCCCTTTTCCTTCCTGTCCATCTGGTAAACTCTAGTCTCACCTTAAGAATTAGCTCAAACTCGGCTTCCCCAGAGAGGCTTTTCCTGTGTCCCTGAGGTAGACATAGGTTCTTCCAGGAATAAGTTAGAAGAGAAATTGGGGGATGCAGAAGAGGAAGCACTCAGGAGACATGAGGGAAATGCCAGTTCCATGGAAGCCAAAGTAAGAGAGTAAGTGCAGAGCTAAAGGGGTAGGATGTTATTGGTGTTACGAGCATCTTAGACTGAAGAAGATAAACACTGAGAAAAGGCTGTGGAATTCAGTGACACAGTGCCCAGTGGTCCTTTCTGAAAGAGGAGTTTTCACTGGGTAGTTGAGCGAAGGCTAGGTTAGGGGCTAAGGACTGAGTAGGAAATGAGGAGGCTGAGGCAGCATTACTTACCTGCTTCTTTGCAATGTGTAAGAACAGAGGTAGCTCCATGGCCAAGTGGAAGATTTTTTAGGCACGTGGAATTTAAGTATGTTTGAAGTTAAGGAGGACCAAGGCAGTAGAAAAAGAGCTTGATTTCATTGTGACACTTAGAAATGTAATTTTTAAAAAGGTAATGTTTTGGGGGATAGCAAAAAAAGTAGGAACATATTTGAGAAACGAGCTTTAGGTTTTTTAATGGAGGCAATTATAAACACAGCTGAAGGATGTAAAAGAAGACCTAAAAAATGGAGAACCCTCCGTGTTTTTGGTGGAGAAAGGCCTCAACATTGAAAAGCTAACAGTTCTCCTCAAATTAATTTATAATTCAAAGCAGTCCCAGCCAGAATCCTCAAAAGGTTTTCATAGAACTTGACTAGCTGATTCTAAATTTATACAGAAAAGTCGAGCACAGAGAATTTTAAAGGGGGAGAGAAGCCGTGAGGGCTTGCCCTTGCTGGATAAAAGGACCAATTATGAATCTCTGGTAAGTAAAGTATTCGTTTCTTCAACAAATATTTGAGTGCTTATGTGCCAGATACTACTCCAGGGACTAGGGACCTAGAACAGTGAAGAAAAAAAAAACAACCAGGCAAGTTCCTGCTTTCATGGAGCCTGCATCCTAATAAGGTAAGACCAATAAAATGCAAATAGAAAAGCAGGTATTTAATATGTCAGATGTGATAAGTGCTCTGAGAGGGGAAAAGGCAGGGAAATGGCATCCGGAGTGTGTTGCATGTATAGAGGGCTCCTTCTTTGTATGGGGTGGCGAAGCTTCTCTGTTAGGATGGCAATTAAAACTTGAAGTGAGGGGGCAAGCCATGTCAATATCTGGGAGACGAGCTTGGTTCTAGGCAGAGGAAGCAGGTGAGAGTGTGCGTGATGTGTCAGGAAAAGCAAGGAGGCCAGGAAGTCCAGAGCAGAGTGAGAGAAGGAGAGTGGTCGGAGGAGGGGGTTAGAGAGGCAGTGGGAACTGGATCATGAAAGGCCTTTCAGGTTATTTTAAGAATTTTGGCTTTTACTCTGAGAGATGGGAAGATGCAGGAGGGTTTAGAATGGAGCAGTGATGCGATCTGACCTATGTTATGAAAAATGATCCCTCTGGTTGCCGTGAGGAGACTAGACCCTAGGTGGGCAGGGAGGATAGCTGTTGAGAGGCTGTTGGGATAATCGGGGTGAGAGGTAATATTGGCTTGGATCAGGATAGTGGCAATAAAAGTGGTAGTAAGTGGTTGGATTTTTTTTTTTTTTTTTACATATTTTGAAGGTAGAGTGGTTTGGATTTTCTGATGGCTTGATTGTGAGGTATGAAAGAAAGGAGTCAAGGATGACTTTCCAGTGTTGGAACTGAGGACCTGAAAGAATGGAATTTCCAATTCATGAGAAGGAGAAGACTGCAGGAGGGGCAGGTTAGCAGTTGCTGAGAATTAGGGGCTTGGTTTTTAAGACATTAAGAATTTGAAATACTATACAATCCAAATGATAGAGTTGGAAGTAGAAGTTTGAGTTTAGGGGAGAGGTCTGGGTGGAGATACAAATTTGGGAATAAGTAGTGTATACTGTAGAGTTATTTAAAGTCATGGAATGTATAAAATCACTTAGCAAGATCTTGAACTGGTATTGGTTCAGGGTAGGTGAACAGTTTAGAAATTAAAACATGTACACATGGGAACTTAGTAGATGACAAAAGTGGCATGATAGGTGGATGAGGAAAGAATCTAGTAATTAGCTGTCCGTATAGTCAGGTAATTTTAGATACCCATTTCATAGTGGATACTAAATTCCAGGTAGTTTAAAGACCTATACGTGCAATACAAACTTCAAACATCAGGAGAGGCTTCTGCTTTTGGCCATAATAGAGTTACAGGGACCTGATTTATCTCCCTTTCTCCACACCTGTTAACATTGTATTGGAAGACCTAGCCAGTGCAACAGAGCAAGAAAAAGAAATAGAAGACATTCAGACTGAAAAAGAATTCTTATTCTTCTGATCATCCAGGTAAAAAAATTCTAAGAAATTTACAACAACCTGGTAGAACTAATTAGTGAGCTAGTTCAACATACAAAAATCAGTTATATTTCTGTATACTAATCAGAAGTAGAAAATGGAAAAGCATATTATTTATAATGGCATTAAAATTTCATGAAATACTTGGGAATAAACTTGATAAGAGCTGTGTAAGACTTGTACACATTGAACATTGGTGAGAGAAATTTAAGAATATCAATATGGGGAAGGGTACTATTTTCAGGGATCAGAAGACTTGACATTGTTGTCAGTTTTCTCCAAG